TGTGGGTGGGTGGGAGCCTGGGCTACAGATCTGCATCTCACACCTGGGGTCAGTGGTCCGGATGCCTCCCCGAGGGCTGTTGCCCCAGGGCATGCATCATTGCCAGCCTGGGTATGGGAAGTGGGGGCCAAGAAGGGGCCCTGCTTGGTGCTGGCCTGGCCCTCTGTTGGCTGGGCCTGTCACTGTGAGGCCGGGACTCTGCCTCTCAGAAATGTGCTGTCAGCACTTTGGTTGCTCAGTGTGATGTCAGTGACCGAGGTGCTCCGCTAGCAGCCCTGCTGTCTTCCTGCTGGAGCAGGTCTCTCCTCTGCGTAGCCTCGGGCAGCTCAGTGACAGCCTTGGGTTGCAGGGAATGATATGTCACACACTGGTCATCTTTGGAATAATGCTGCATGTAGTAGAAGACACATGCTGCTTCCTGGAGTTGCCTTTGTCTTAGGAGTGCGTGGGCTGGAGAGAGTATACAGTTTGTCCTCTCGAGTTTCTGTGGGCTCATTTCAGGCTCATCCTTGGAGTTCCTCCAGCACGCCTGGTGGCTCTGTTCTTGTGCTCCCTGGGTGCTGGCAGATGGACAACCTGGGCTTCCTGTTCACCAAGAGAGCAGAGCTGGGGAAGGCTGGCCTTGGGGGGCATGAACAGCGTGGGTCCCTTGTGCTCTAGCTGCCCTCATGGCCTAGTTGGAATGGCCATTCATCTCAGGTGCTTTTGTTGCTCTTTTCTTCCCTGTGGTGGTCTGCAGGTTACCTCTGGTTTTCAAGCTGTTGTTTTACATAGCCCTTCCTGGAGCTGTTCTCTGTGGGGCCTCTCAGCATGCTGGCATTTGCTGCTCCTCTTGTGTATGCCTTCTCTGGCCCGCAGTCTTTATACTGTCAGTCATCGTGGCTGTTTTACTCTTCCAACACTTCTTTGCCTTTTTTGTTACTTTGATTTGTGAATCACATTTTTGTGGCTCAGTTCTGAGGATGCGAGTGGACCTCTTGGTCTTGATTCCTCTTCTCTCAGCTCAGGGGAGCATGCAGGACATAGTGCAGCCAGGGCCCTCAGTGGGGTCTGAATGGAGGCTTCTACCTCCCATGCCTTCCTGCCTCCTCGCGGCCCCTCCATGGCCATGCCCTCCCTCCCTGGCCCTGTGTGCTCCTGCCTTTCCCTGGGCTCTGTTCTGAGATGGGAACGTATCCTCAGCATGTGGCTGATGTCTCCTCCTGGTCCCTGGTGTACAAGGGCTGGGCCTCTTCTTGGGCCAGTCTAGGGGGAGCCGTGGTGGATGCAGGTTTAGTTTAGAAATGAACATGGGCGGGATCGAACTTGGCTGTCTTGTATCTGAGTCATCATAGCATCAATACTAAGTTCACTTGGTTGGTAATAAATGTTTCTGAAAAGTGTGAAGCATCTCTCTCCAGTTATGAGCTGAAGTAGTACAAAGTGCTGACGTTAATTTTGGAAATGGTCGTGTTGACTTTGGGCAGATGCTTAACAGAATATATGGAAATTAATAAAGTTGTGCTTGAGCTAGGCATGGTGTACACACTGTGATCCCAGCACTCTGGGAGCCTGAGGCAGGATCGAAAGCATAAGCCCTGTCTAGGCAACTTGTCAATTTAGCAAGACCCTGTATCAAAATAAAAAATAAAAGGAACCTGGTCCCGGAGCTCAGAGTGAAGGTCCTGGGTCCAATGCCCCACACCCTGCACCCCCTAAAAGAGTTGAGTTTGAGTCATCCAGCATTGCAGGTGCCTGTGGCTTAGAGAAGCCAGCTTAAATCCCCTGTGCCCTCTCCTGTCCCATAGCCCTGTCCTTGCTGCCATTAGTGTTGCAGCCTAGCGGCTTTCCTGTATGCCTCTGCTGTCAGATTAATTTGATCAGAACTGGTAAAAGTCTTCTAAGTTGTTTTGCTTTTTGGTGACAAGTGCATTCATATTTATATTGGCAGCAAAGTGTGGAAACTTCAGAGCAACTCTGAGCAGCAGTTATTCACACTAATGATGATGACAGGCCACACCCTGAAGAGAGCTTCCGAGCCACTACATGGATGTTTTTATTAAATGTTACTTCTGATGTGATTAATTGGCATTATAAGTATTCATTAAAAGTCTGTATTATTAGCGAGGCCTAGTGGCCCATGCCTGTAGTTCGAGTGCTCTGGTAGGCTGAGGCAGGAGGATTGCTTGAGCACAGGAGTCCAGAACCAGGCTTCTAGCATAGCAAGAACCTCTCTCTTATAAGGAACAAAAAGTCTATGAAAAAAAAAAGTACAAGTGCCATTTCATTCTGATTTTTAAATCTTGAATTTGATGACTTAAGTAAACTGGGTGGCATTTAAAGGAGGTTCTGGCTCCCTGTTTGTTGCTGTTGTGTGAATTGGATGGGATCCCTGGTAAGCCCTGGCTTTTGAGTGTGTCATCTCAAGTGATGGAGCTAGGCCATGGCTAGTGTGCAGGGTAGCTGAAGCTTGTGACCATGGCCCCCGTCCAGGTGACAGCTGGGGACTGGCTCTGGGCTTAAGTCTCTTTGTTACGGGAGATCTGGAGAGATGGCCTGGTGTAGTAGCTGTCCTCGTGTTCAATTAGGGTGTTGTATTTCTTGAGCCAAGAAGTAAGGGTCTCCTCAAGGCTCAGGGCACAGCTTGTGCTCCTTGCCAGAGTCTAGGCTTCGGGAGTTTACACGAGAACTCTGGTCTCAGTTTTCAGGAGACAGACAAGGCGTGGCACGGTGGATGTCTGGCACTGGCGGAACTGGGCAGACGAGGCCTGCTGCTTCCATCACGACTCCCGGAGGGTAAGTAACAAAAGTGTGGACCTGCGCCCGCTGGCCACTGTGGCGTAGCAGGATCCTCATGTGAGCTGTCTCCCTGGTGGCTGGCTGTAGATGAAGATGCCCATGGAAGGGGACCCTGCCCATGTGGCCTGTGTGCTTCCTCCCGGTGGCCTTGGCAGGATGCATGGACCGCAAGCCCCATGTGCTATGTGTGGAGGGCACAGACGCTGCTGACCTCCTACTTCTTTTCTTGAGAACTGGCTTTCAGCTGTAGGGATCTGTTGCTGTTGAGGACCCCTACGCTGCAGCTCTGGTGTCCCCAGTGTCCTGTGTGGGTCTATCTTGAGTCACCTGCTGTGACTGTGAACCCCTGGTGGTGAGGCTTGAACCAGTGTAGAGTGGGGGAATTGGGTGGAAGGCTGGGGAATCTTTGCAGGGGCGCTGTGGTGCCTAGCAGGGCACAGTGGGCATGCTGAGGGCCTGCAAGCCCAGGCCACTGTTGGGCTGGGCTGTGGCCATGTGCTGCTGTTCACTGGTGGTGGGGATGGGCCTGGGGTGTGGCCGGAAGGGATGGAAGTTCAGGACAGCAAGGACCCTGTCTGAGCGTGCCCTGCAGATGCTGTGCACCGAGAGGTGGCTTCTGTCCAGAAGACAGACGCTGAGTGGTGTGGCTGGTGTCTCAGCAGCGCTGGGCTGCTGTGGAGTCTACTCCAGGTACTGGAAGGCTTGGGAGACCTTTCTGGGCCTGCAGTAAAAAGTGGTATTTGGTGTTTCTGTTTTTTTTTTTTTTTTTTTTGGTACCGGGGATCAAACTCGGGCCCTTGCGCTTGCGAGGCAGGCAGTAGAACCACTGAACTTAAATCCTCAGCCCTCAGTGTTTCTGCTTTTGAAGCATGTTCTTTGTTGAGATAAATCAGGTCCTGTAAAGTTCACCCATGGAAGCGTGCAGCTGTGTGGTCTTTTGCATGCTCGTGATTTCACAGCATCTTCACTGTTGCAAGCAGAAACCCGTCCCAGAAGCAGCCTCTGCCGCCCGCCCTAGGCAGCCACTGGTGCATTTTTTGACACAATATAGTGTTTTGCCTTGTCTAGACATTTCATGCAAACAGAAGATGCATCTGAGTTCTTTCACTCAGTAGTTTCTAATGTTCATCCACGCTGAGCACACCAGTGCCTCATTCCCTTTTTCTGCTGACTCGTGTTCTGTTGTGAATTGGTTCATGCTTTCCACTGGAGCACAGATGGTGCTGCTGTGAACATTTGTATACAGGTTTTGTGTGAATACATATGTTTGGTTCTCCTGGGTATAGACCTAGGGATGGAATTGCTGGGTCACCCTCAGACCGGCCAGCCTTTTCCACAGTGATTGTTCCATTCTGAATTCTACCAGCTATACAGGAAGGTTCTAGCTTCTCTACACCCATACCAACACGTATTTTTTCTTTTTTTTAAAGAAAGTAGCAGCCACCCTCATGAGTGTGACATGTCACTTCGCTGTGCTTCTGGTGTGCATGGCTGGTGACCATTGAAGCAGTCTGAGAACATGTACTCAGGGCCGTTCTTACAGGTTTAACTTGGTGGGGGTTGTTAACTATGCCTTTTGTCTTCTTAGAGTTGTGATTGGTGGGGGTAAGGGGGCCCCTGGGCGGGTCAGGGATTTAACTTAGTGGCACGATGCCTGACTCACCAAGCTCAGGGTACTGAGTTTGATCCCTGGTACACCACAAAAAAAAAAAAAAAAAAAAAAAAAAAAAAAAAAAAAAAAAAAATAAAGAAACAAAGAAAAAAAAAATCTTACAGCGTTGGGATTTAGTTCAGTGGCGCCCTGCCTGCCTCGCAAGAGCAAGGTCCTGAGTTTGATTCCCGGTACCAAAACAAGAAAGGACTGGCACAGTTTCCAGATGGAAATGATTTTATAGACCACCACAGTGGCTGGTAAGCTTTATCCTGGTAGTTGCAGTTTGGCCCAGGTCCTTAGCTGGATCTCTGCACACAGTTCAGCCTGAGGATTGGCGGTAGATGTACCTAAAACATGGTTTGGTAAAGCCTCCAGCTGCGCTGGCCCATGTTGCCCACCAGGTCTTCCTTCCCAGCACACACTTCTGTCTTGGGATGTCAGTTGGCATCACTGATCCCAAGCAGCTGGAGTAAAAGGATGTGAGTGCCAGTGTTGTGACTGAACAGTATAGTCCTGCTGTTTGAGCTGTGAAACTGACATGGAATGAATCAGTCCATGACCTTCCTGGGGGCTGCTGCCCTCCCCATGAGCAGAGGCCCCTGCCACCCTCACCCTGTGCCTGGCGGAGCCTGGACAAGCATGACAAGAGTGTCACGTCAGGAGGGAGTGCTCCAGGTGGTTGTGGGAGGTGGTGTTGCTGACACTCGTGGTATCTGCACTATACTTTGTACTTCCTGTGTTTCTGTTTTAGACCTTATGCTGTTCCCCTGAAGGTGGTCCTGCTTCTACACAGTTTCTGTGCTCCCTTGGCCAAGGCTGTGGGCAGTTTTCTGTCACTGTGGATGGAGCTGGCAAAACATGGCCTGGGGACATTGGTGTCGATGGCATGATGGCCAAGCATGTGGGGTTTTGTCCTAGCAGACCTGGTCTAGGAGGAAAAGTGTTGCTAGCATGAGAGTTTGTATCTCAGAAGGTATGTTCAGGGAGGACAGGTGTCCATGGCATGAGGGTCACCAGCATACAGTTGTGCATCCGAGAGGACGTGGCCTGGGAGCTGGGTGTTGATGTGACGCCACCAGCATGCGGGTGTGTGTCCTGGAGGATGGGCCTAGGTGGATGGGTGTCACTGGGCTGTGGCGACTTGCCTGTGGATTGTGTTGCTTGTATAGGACACAGCCAGCTGAATGGGGAGGAAGTAACACCAGAAGTTTTTGCTGATGTCCATCTGGGTTCTTTATCTCAGCTTCTGAGAAGACAGCCCCACCCAGTGGAGGGTGGTCAGAAAAGGAGTGTTCTTTCTTTCTATGGCTTCTTAGCGAATTCTGTTCATGGTCCATGCATACACACCCTTTCCCACGTTGCCGGGGTGCTGTACCATCTTGGACTTTGCTCCAGACCACGTTCTCCTTGAAATCTACCACCAAACGGGTCTGTGTTGGGGTGAGCTACATGCCGAGAGTTCTCTGCTTAGCCCTAGTTCAGTCTGTCCAGCCTTTCCATGGCTCTGTTGGAAAGTGTACCATTGTCTGCTGAGCCAGAGTGGGTTTGAGTGGCTTGTGGCCTTTCTGTTTCCCTGTTGTATACAAGAACAGGCAATAATACTTTTGCTGTACTATCTGGTAAAGTGTATGCATGTGATAATTTTGCATTTATGAGTTTGATATTTGAAGTCCACCATTTTGATCTTTTTGGACATTTGGTATGACCCCTTTTTCTTCCTTGCTATCCTTCCTCTGTGGAGAGTTTTACATATTGAGTTGAAGACTAACTATCGTTTGCTGTTGCTTTGAGCCTCCTAGGTACATGTCTCCATCTTTCAATAACCTGAGGTTGCCTTCAGTGGCTGCTGCTTCAGATAGACTTCCTGATCGGTTTTGCTCCGCCAGATGCTGTTATGTGTTTGTTAGTGTCTGTCAAGTTGTGTTAATTTTCTTTAGCCTTTCTTTTTTGGCTCCTCACGTGGGACATTGCTGCTGTCCTATCCTTAAATTCACTATTTCTTCTGCCTGGACAAATCTGGCTATCAAACCCCTCTTGGTAATCTTCTCAGTTCAGCTATTGGCTCTTCAACTCCATTTGTCCATTTGGTCTCAGTCTGTGGTCACTTCTGTCCCTTTGACATTATGCACTTTCCCAGATGTTGTCCTTTAGCTTCTTGAGCATATTTTGAGGCTGTGGATGTGCAGTCTGTCCGGGAAGTCCAATGTCTGGCCTTCCTCTGGGGTGATTTTTGTTGGTTCTTGTTTTCCTGTGACTGGTCATACTTACATGTTTCTTTGGGTGCCTTGTAGTTTTTTATGAAAGCAGAACACTTTGAGTGTCATGATACAGTATCTCCTGGATCTCCATAGGCGTTGGCTCTGTGTTATTTTGAGGCTGTGGCCCTCTGTGGCTCCCACATGTCTCCCCTCTGCCTTTGTAGGGATTGAGCCTTGAGTTTGGTCTCAGAAGTCAGCTCCAAGTCTTGGCAGCAGCCAGTGACCTGACAGAGATGTTCCAAAGTGCTGAAATGCACCAGCCTCTTCCCCACAGATAGCATTCCCTTGGTTGCTCTGAGTTTTGAGTTAGAATCTGGGGCTTTGCAAAAGTTGGTCCTGTAAGCCAAGGCTAGTTTTTTTCTGTGGAGGATCAGGTTATGGAGCTCCTCCTCTGCCATGTTTGATGGCTTTCATCCAGTAAGGAGCATGTAGATGGTGCTGTAGCATCCTTCCAGGCTTCTGATAGGGTTAAACCTGGGGAAATGCCTGCACAGGGCATGGGAGGAGCTGAAGGCTAGAGGGCCCATCTGGTCTCAGTTGTGTGTTGTGGGTGGGAGGCTGGAGGCTCCTGGGGGGCTGCGTGCCTGGGAAAAGGTTTGGCAGGGCTTTGGGGAGCATCCCCAAGCCAGAATCAGTGGCAGAGGAGCCTGTGTTTCCCAGGAAGTGCTATACTAGTGCGACTGCTATATTCTCCTCGGGAGTGTGCTGGCCCGGACGCGGTGCTGAGTCTGCCGTGCATTGCATTGTGGCACGAGACCCCCTGTCCTGCCCCTCCACTGCAGGCCTGGCATCTTAGTTTCCAGCTGAGTGGGTGGCCCTGGAGGGACCTCGGCAGCCCTTGTGTCTGAGAGATTTTTAGTCTCTGTGCAGTTTTGAGCTGTCTGATATCCCTGTTTGTAAGACAGGGGAGCCGACTGTGCAGCGTCTTTGACTTTGCTGGTGGCCTGGTGGCTCTCCCATGCCCCTAGAGTGAGAGCACGGGGAGGGCAGATCGTAGTGGGCCCTGTCAGAGTCGTGCATAATGGGTGTTGACTGTGCTTTCTAAAAGTGTGAATTTTTCCCCCTCAGCATTGTTGCAGTGTAATTTACCTATCAAACAATTCCTCATTTCAAGTTTAAGATTCGATGGATTTTGATATATTGCTTTATTTTTTTAAATTACAAATTTTTTTCTTGGTACTGGGGATTGAACCCAGGACCTTGTGCTTGCAAGGCAGGTGCTGTGCCACTGAGCACAGGCACCTTTATTATTAAGCACTGGCAGCTTTATTATTATTTTTTAAAATTGTGGTAAGAATATATAAAATTTAAAAATTTGACATTTAATCATTTTTAATGCATATTGTTGTGTGGATTACGTTCACTGTTGCACAGCCATTACCTCCGTCTAGTTGGGCAGCTGTTGTTATCCCATATAGACCAACCCCTGGCCGTTCTAGTCTCTCCTCTGCCTCGTGCATTTCTCTCTCCTAGGGACCTTATGTGAGCACCAGGTTTATATAGTGTTGGGTCTTTTGTGACTGGTTTATTTCACCAAGTGAGGTCTCTGGGTTCTTCCATGCTAGAAGAGCAGTGTTCTTCCCGTGTGAGGGCAGCCCATCCAGAGACTGCCCACTCCGCTCACCCATTGTCAGCAGGTGCTTGAGTGGCCCTCTCTGCTGCTGGGGTCTGCTGCAGTAAGCGTAGAGGTGCATGTGTTTGCTGAGACCCCATCAGTTCTGTGGCTGACACACTGTGTCACAGTGTACTTTGTGTGACTGGGAAGTTCGTGCCTTGTGTCCCTAAGGACAGGACTGTAGCCAACTCACCACAAGAACAGGATCACAGCCCCCCCCCACCCAGGACAGGACCACAGGGGTCTCCCCAAGGACAGGACTACAGCCCCCCCATCCCCAAGGACAGGACCACAGCCTCCCATCCCCAAGGACAGGGCCACAGCCCCCATCCCCAAGGATAGGACCACTGAGAACCCATGGGTCCTCAAGGACAGGACCACAGGGCCCCATCTCCAAGGACAGGGCCACAGCCTCATCCCCAAAGAGAGGACCACTGAGAACCTATGGGTCCTCAAGGACAGGGCCACAGCCCTCCATCTCCAAGGACAGGACCACAGGGCCCCATTCCTGAGGACAGGTCCACAGCCTTCCATCCCCAAGGACAGGACCACTGAGATCCTATGGGTCCTCAAGGACAAGAACTTGGGGTCCCACTGACTTCTCCTTAATGCATCTTTAGGTTTAGTTTGCAGCTGGGCTTCAAGTACTCCTTAGGAGAATTGTGAGACTGTGCGTGTCTCCTCCCAGTTGGTATTGGGGTTTTATGTAAATTTAGCTTCTTTTGAAGTATGGTGTTTCTGTCCTGAAATTTGCCTCGAGATAAACCCATCGTCTCCTTCACGTGTGCATCAGGTATCCAGGCTGTGTGAGTTTCTCAGACATGTGTGTCTTTCACAGGATATTTATCCTTCCCTCTCTGTCCTTCCTGGAGAGTCTGTTCCACGGGAACCACTTGCTCTCTACTCAGTTCACAGGGAGGAAAGTGTAAGAGTTAGAGTTAACTGCTTCATTTCTTACTGAAATGTTTTTCTAATTTGAGTTTTTAAAAACTCTTAGTGTCCATTGTCACATTAACGTGTACAACTTCCATTTTCATGTATTTACTGTTTTCAAGTTAAAATATTAAATTGAAAAAACTGGAAATAAATTAGTATGCAGTTGACCAGAGCAACCTGAGACAGTGCCTGTGTGACCACACAGGTTCTGACAAGATGGCGTTTAGGTCCAGACGTCTTTGGTGAGTCACACTGTTGCCCAGAATTGGGCAGGGCTCTGCATCAGCCTAGGGAGCTTCGCTCACATGAAGTGGGAGCTCGGAACCATGGCAGCAGCTTGTTGTAGCTGGTGCTATGGTTGGGACTTCACTGCTTGCTCCTGGCGGCCTGTGCTCCACCGTGGAGCCTCCCAGCACCTTCCCTGCAGGACGTAGTGTACCTCGCCCACCTGCGGGAGGCTTCTCCTGGTCTCCTCTGGTGCCTGTCCAGGCGCCTGGGCTCAACTCTTACTCTGAGGCTCGGCTGAGGCTGGCCTCCTCAGAGTGAGGGCAGGGCTGTGGAGACAGGATGGGAGCCTTTCCAGGCCACTGCCGGAGTCTTACGCCCTCCCCATGCTCTTGTCCGAGGACCTGATGGTCTCTGAGGAGCCCCGTTTCCCGCCTCCTGCTGCCCATGCACACCGCCACACACTGAGATGGGACGGCTCTCTCAGGCACTGCCGCCTCCGCGGCCAGCTGTTCCGCTGAGTGTTATGCACTGTACTTACAAGGGCACCACAGAGTTTACACTTGTCTTCATTTTATGTGTTGTTAAAGTTTATTGAAAAATTAACAACATATACATCATTTTAGGGAGTGGAAAGTGAGGCTGAACAAGTTAGAAAATTCACTTTGATATTACAAGCAAATGGAATAAATCAATCAATCGTACTGTCACCAGTAATGCACCTTCCCTTGTGGAAATAAATTATTTGTATAAATAGCCTCTGGATGTTTGTGCTTGTCTTAACAAATCACAACATTTTTATACACAGCACTTGAACACTAGAACTGAGAATACACCTTTCTGGTGTCTTGTCGGTAATTGTTACTTACTTGGAGACATGTGGCTAGGTGTAACAGAAGAGTAGTGAAGGTGGTCTGTCCTAGTGCTGACAGGTCTGTAAGGACAGTGTCTGGGGAAACCGTGTCCCTCTGGTCCTGTGTCTGCATGTGCACCGGAGCAGAGGTTTCATTCGCCGGTGTGGAGTGTGTAAGGCGTTCAGCTGTCTTTATAACCAGGAGGAGAAGCACCTTTTCACATCGTCGGAATGTCCACAGAAACTGGACTGACCTATGGCTTCTTCCTAAGGAGAACCAGAAACTACATCTGTGGAACTGCAGGATGAGCAGTGCAGGGCTGCCTGGGATGTGGCATGGAGGGAAAGTCTCCTGCAGCTCTGCACTGCACCGGGCCAGGCCTTAGGACACCCGGGTCCTTCTGCGCAGAGTGAAGACGCGTGCTGCTGTGTCACTTGGCTTTGTTTTCTTAGCTCCTTGCTGGGATTTCCCTGCATCCCTTTGACTTGTCCTCTTTTGTCCTTTGGGTCTGAGGTCACATTGAGCCCCCTGGCTCTCCCTGGGACTGGGTGTGGCTGCATCATGGCAGGCAGCTTCCTGGGCTGTGGTCTCCCCATCACCCACCCGGACATTCCTGGGGCTGTAGGCCGCCAGCTGACAGAGGGCCACAGCTGCTGTCTGCTTCTGCTCCTCACTGCTGTCCACCATGCCTGCATCTGGAGCCTTTCCACCAGGGGCCTCGTCATGCTGAGTGTCAGCCTGGCCTGGCGCATCTCCAGAGCCTTCTGTCTCAGTCTTCTGAGCAACAGCAGTGGGTTCTGCACCTTGGGATGAGCTGGAAGTAGTAGGCCTCGGGCCTCGGGAGATGCAGGCATCCTTCACAGAGAGGTTGAGGGGTAGGTCCTGCGGCTCAAAGTCCAGGGCCACTGGGGTGCTGCCTGTGTACTCTGGTCGGTGAGTAGCAACAGGGTTTGTCTCCAACTTCTTGGAGAGGTTGAGGGGCCCTGCCTTGGAACCATCCTCAGGGCTGGAGGGTGAGGCCTCAGGGATGAGAGAGGAGGCGCTTCCTGTCTGTGCGGCAAGATCTCCATTCGGGGCCTGGAGACTAGAAGAGCCGAGAGGGCTTAGTGAGAGCTTGTTTAGGAAAGTGATCACTAAAGCATTTTGAACAGAAGTAAATGTGGCTAGTTGAATGCAACCAAAAACATTAAACTGAAGGGTTTGAAAATTAAATTTTCTTACCTTTTGGGGGACTCTGTTCTGTTCGTAGGTGGCTGGGAACGAGGGTATTCTGTGCTCTTCTGGACAGGCTTGAAGGCTGTGGGGCTCTGTTTGGGTTGCTGGAGCTGTCCTGGGGTATCTGGAGCTGCTTTGTTTGAGAGGTCACACAGACCTTCACATGTCTGGCTGGTCTGTGTGAAGTTGGTAGGGCTTGGTCTTCCGGGGGAGCCTGTGGCTGCACTGCCTGCACGGGGGCTCATTTTGGCCCCTTCTGCGTCTTTGGAAGGGTCTTTAGCCTCGGGAGTTGGACTTCCTTTCTCAAACTCTGTGTGCTTCTTGTGGGTGTTTGAAGGGTTTGACTCTGAGGGACTCGAGGCTGGGTAGACCAGGGCAGCATCCTCCAACAGTTGAGAGCTTTGGTCTCGTGAGAGGCCAGCTGCAGGCGGAAGCCTGAGGCTGTAGGAGGTGAATGCTGACTCGGGTCTGTAGAAGCCATAAGGAAGGGGCAGGCTGGTGTGGAACTGGGGGAGCAGCCTGTAATGGTCATATGCTGATGGAGATGGGGCCAGGTGTTTTGGGAGTGGCCCGGGGTGAGGCAGGAAGTGTCTCTGTTCTTGTGCCCCGTAGACGGACAGCAGGGTGGTGTCACACTCAGGTGCGTTCCCGGGAAGGAGGTAGGGGGAGTAGATGGTGGCCAAGCCATGCTCTGTGTAGAAGGGTTGGGGATACTCTGGGATTGTGGAGTGCATGTAGGGAGAGATGGTGCCGAAACCCTTCGTGGATGGGATTTTTTGTGGAAACTCGGGTGTGAGGAAAGGGGAGCTAGCTTTCCAGGGGTAGCCAGGTGTGTGGAATGCAGACTTGGCGTGGAAAGATGTGGCTTTTGCCATGGGGCTGGTTAGCGCCAGCAGCTCAGGCGCCTCTGTGTGGTCTGTCCCCTTGAGTCTGTGCTCCCCAACTGGAATAAATGCTGAGGGCCGAACCATGCTGTCCAGAGACGGCTGGGTGCTGAGGGCAGCTTCTGAGGCTGGCTCCCTCTGCATGGCCGGCCTCTGAGGGCACCTATGGGCCGCCCGCATTGGAAGCTCCAGGTCCTCCTTGGTGTCTTCCTTGGCAGGACTGAGCTGTGGCTTTGGTTCGAGGCTGGAAAGCCCATGGGTGAGTGCCTTGGTGGGGGCCGGCTTGACTGTGGGTTCTGGCTGGAGGGCCTGCCTAGGGTCCAGAGGGCTGGGCTTGGGCCCCTTGGGGGTGCGGTCCTGCTCAGACACCAGCGTGATGGAGTTCTTGCAGAGCCCGTACTTCATGTGATTGAAGAGGTGTGACTTCTCATTGCAGGTGAAGGGGCACTGGAAGCACTTGTACTTGAAGGGCTTCCCCGGCGGCCGTGGAATGTAATGAGGCTTTTTTGGTTTCCGCTCTTTGAGAACACTCATGTCCCGCCCCTGTGTTCCAGACTCCTCCAGTTGGCTGAGTGATGGGATCACTGCTTACTCCTCTTCAGCCCTGACTGGTAGCCGTTGGGAAGGCGCACTCCGTCTCGCCTCCCTTTTCAGAGTACTGGGGTCAGCTCCACTGCTGAGGAGTGTCTCGGGAGGGCTCGCCGTATGGTCTCGGAGCTGTAAGGGAGATTAGAGGCTGAGTCAGGATGGGGCTTAGTGGGTTGGGGTCCTTGTCCAGCTCCAGAAGGAGGATGGGGCAGAGGCCCTTTGAGGAAGCTGAGGCACCCCACATCCCTGCGTGCCTGCTCCACTGGCTGCCCGCTCCCCTCCCTCCGTTGTTTTCTCAATCTGACCTGGAAGAGTTTCTGGGGACCAAGAGTGTGCAGTGTGTGAAGTCCGAGTACAATTCTGGGAGCACGTGTACTTATCCGGGTTTGGGGGCCCTCACCCCACAGTCTAGACCTACCCTCTGGAGTGCCCTGAAGGGCTGATCTTCTGCCCCTCAACCATCTCCTCAGGGCTTTGGGGTGGGCCCTGGAACAGCCTGCCTGGTTGCCTGCCTGTTCTCGGGGTGGCATCCTTCGGCACTGTGTGTGTGGTGTGCCATTCGGCCGAGACTGGTGGCCACCCTGCCTAGGGAGCCACGGTTATTGGCATGTTCTGTACGTCGGTGTCACGAGTGGAGATTATTTAAACGTGACTCCACCCTATGGCTTCCAAAACCACAAATAAAAAAGTCAGCTCTTTCTCAGTAAGTTATATTTTGTTTTTTCTGGTGCTGGGGATGGAACCTAGGGCCTACCTAGTTCATGGCACCAAGTGCTCACATAGGGCCACACCCCCAGTCTTGGCAAGTTGCATTTCTATAGTCTCCATACAAATGCCAAAGCTGTATTTAGGTTGTTTTTCACAGTTTGCAGCACTGCCAGGGTAAGCTTGCTGTGTCCTGTGCACTGCCTCCTTATCAGAGTAGAGTTGCTTTTCCTGTCCACCCTGTCCTTTCACAGTGTGCCTCTAAACAGACCTTCACGTGGGTGTCTTCTGGACCGTGGGAGGCCCTCTTGGCCTTTAGCCTCCAGTTTGCTCCTCAGGCCCTTGGCACTTGTAGGTGACCCCCCCTATCCACCACATAATCCGCTTTCACTGGGCCTCCTGACCAAAGCTGAGAGAGTCCAGGTTCCTAAATTCACTTGGAAACATGAAAAGGGCAAAGGTCTCCAACTCCTTACTACTTTCAAATAGCTTAAAAGTAAATCTCAGTGGAAATATGTGAGAACATTGTTTTCAGCTGCAAAACTCAGCCTGTGGGACTTATGCTGTCAAGCAGTACCTTTTTGACTTGGTGGTCAGATGCCTCTGGAGAGCAGGGGAGGCCCCTGGCGTCAGGCAAGCCCTTAGTTTCCTTTGGGATACTGGGAATATGAGAAAGCTATCTGATTTATTTGGATTTTCTCCTAATTTATTCATCATTTCTTAAAAGCACAAAGAACAACCCTGAATGTCCCCAACTGCTTCTGTAGCATACTTTAAGATTTTAAGACTTTTTTGTTAATAGTGATTTTGGTGGAAAAGAGGGCTGTGCTGAGACCAGAAACCTCCCACTTAAGAGTTTCTTTGAGGCAGTGGTAGGCAGCATGCATTTGGGACGAGAAAGCTTTCGTTGCCTTGTAACTGAGATGGAGTCAGCGTAGGACCCCCTCTGGGGTGTGGTCCAGCAGCCCTCTAGGGGTTCCCTATGGACCTGTGCCATGGGTAGGGGCAGAAGCTCTAGGTACCATGTCAAAGTCAAGCCAGCCACACGTGGATCAGTGGCTTTGTGATTTTCCTCTTTACTCTCTTATTAAAAGAAAAATGGTGAAATGTGATTCTCTGGGGTCTAGCTGTACCTCGGGGAGCAGCGAACAGGACTGCCCTGCCCCCTCCAGGTTGCGAGCAGTGGGCCTGGTCCCTGCCTTGCAGGCCAGCCGGCTAAGTCAGCGGGGCTTGTGCCGGCACGCTCAGTGTGCTCCTGGTCCGCAGGCGTGGGAACCGCGGCGAGGCAGGTTCCCAGCGCCTCGCAGGATATGTCATGGCACAGATCTGAGAGCAGTGATTTCATCACTCCCTGGGAGCGTCGTGAGCAACACGATGACAGCTGCAGACATTTATCAAGTGTGAGCCGCATCCAGGGATACCAGGGGTGACAGCGCGGGGAGGACAGAAAGTCCCCTCGGGATGTAAGAAAGTGGTGACATGCATCTAAGCAGTGTTACTTACTGTAACAGCAGGAGATAAGGGCCCCGCGGTGGTCAGGTTTCCCTGTCGTAGGGAGGCAGGCGGTGTGCAGGTTATCGTAGTATCAGCCAAAGAATAATTTGGGAAGTAGCTACTCACACTTATCGGCACACCTTCCAGCACACACGCCTGTGCCGGAAGCTGTGTCTGAACCTTGCCCTTTCTGCTCTCCTCTGCTCAGTTTCTGGCAGTGTGTGTGTGGGTGTGTGTGTGGGGCGTGGTTTTCTGGTGCCCGGACCCTGGGAGGTGAGGGTGTTGTAAGGTTTACTGCGTGAAGGGAATGTGCATAAAGTGGAGTCCCCAGCACTGCCGTTTCAGTAACTTTGGATAAACTGACCTCTCCAGTTGCACAATTGCTGATTAAAGCAGGGCACTCAGCTGCTTCAGAGGCAGGTGTAAGAGGGCGTAGCTCACCTGTCTATAAAACCACAGACATGCTGGAGAAGTAAGTGGGATAAAATTGATGCTTTTGTAAGCTTTCGAACGATGATGTCAGCCTGTGAGTTCTCTGTCCTAACTCAAGTGAGGTTTACAAGGATGAAGAAACTAACCTACAGCTGCGACTGCAGTCAGTCACGCATGGCTGTGGGCACAGAGGTCTGACACATCCCGTCCAGTCAGTTGATGCCTGCTGGACTTTATACTACTGCTGGTGTTAAATAGTCCAAAAAGACCATGTAGTTGCCAAAACAGTAAAACCCAGAGCTTTGTTTACAGTAAGTTTGGATTTGCATTCTGAGGCGAAGTTTCCCTGAAGGTGAGGAGAGACGTCCCTATCCCTGTCCCTGTTCCTTTCCCTGTCCTGGTGAGCATGTTTCTGCTGTGGGATTGTGTGCCTGGGGAGTTGCTTGGGGCTGCGGGAGGAAGGTAGTGTGGGCCCAGGCGAGCTCTCCCCACTGCTGTCCTGCCTTTCCCTGTTGATGGGCAGGAGAGGCTGGGGCAGCACCTCACTGCCTCCTGGCCGACCCTCTCTCCTCTGCCTGCCCTGGGGCACCGCCCTGCTGGGTGGCCAGGAGCCTCCGAATGGTCTTCCCTTGGTGTGTGTGTCCACACTAAAGGGCGTGGGAACAGTGAGGTGACGGTACTTCCTGGGCTGTCCTGCTGCCTGTGCAGATGCCCTGCTGATCCAGTGTTCCATGTGCCCCTATGCACTGCTGCTGACTGTGCCCCATAAAGGCCCAAGAGCTCGCTCCTCTACTGCAGTGCCTCGGCCTGGCATAGCTGCCCTCACAGGGCTCTGAGCAGCTTGCAGTTTCAGTTGGCCCCAACTCCTGTTTATCTTGATTTTAAAATCCTGAACTCGGCTGCTCCCTATGTGGACACTTAGTGCATGCCTGTTACGACCACGGTAGTGGCTGGTGTGTCTCCAGTATTTCTAAGGGACTTGAACTTAGGAAGCAGCAGTTTTGTTAAGGAGTTTGCTGGGACACAGTGGAGGTAATTACAGCCTGGCTTTATAGGAGGTGCTCGCCCTGCATGCTTGCCTCTGCGTGGAGGAAAGCCGTGACACTGCCGGTGGTGTCCAGCTGCCTGGCACCAAGTCTCGCAGGTGGAACGTCCTGAAGGGCATGCTGTAATTACCACCTGTGATGTGGCATTATTGCGCCACTCAAGGACATGCCATTGTCAGCTCCCACTGGGGTGTTGCAAGAACAAGATATGTGAGTTTTTCTCCAGTTGAGCCTTCGTTGTGGCTGTGACTGGCGGCTACTCCTCCCAGCTCTCTGTTCTCTGAAATGAAGGGGAAGCCTCAGGACGACCATGACCTAGGGAGGAGGCGCTTTCCTGGAGTACGATTTGGAAGAAAGGAACCAGAAAGCAGCCAGAGGCCCTCTGTCATGGCCACGCAGTGCCGGTGCCTCCTGGTCATAGCAGACATTGCAAAACCCTGGAGACCTTGTTTTAGTGCAGGTGGACTTGGGCCGGGTGGACAGAGGCTGCTGAAGGCTGACATGGGTCAGGTGTGGCCAGTAATGTGGTCAGTAACTTTTCCTACAGACTTCCGAAAGAAGTTCCATATAAGGAAAAACACCCCTTTGTGTGTATGTGTGTGCATGAGTGTGTGAGTGTGTAAATGTGTAACCTTAACCAAACAAAAACCTATTCTTCTTGGTTAAAAGGTTATGTCAAAAACAGTACTTATTTTAAACTTTAAAAGTTAAACTTAACCGAGAAATTAAAATCAGCAGCTATTTAATTACATATAATCTACATATCCATAAATACATATATATTCCTTATCTCTTTTGATGTTGAAATTTATTGTAGCTTTGTTTTAAGGTAAGCAAGAGTTAAGCAGTAATATAAAATCACCTTTTGGTTTATATTTTATAAGTTTATGGCGGAAATGACTTGATTTCTAAATAAGCCTGTTCTTGCCAGCCTTGGAATAAAGTGTCACCCCATTAAGAGTTGGGACTGTGTTCTGTGTCTGGGCAGAGCACTTGCCGGGTCCTGACTCGTCCTCAGGGCCCAGAGCAAGGCAGAGCAGAATCGGGCAGGTGGTTCATTTAGCTAGTATCTTAAGACCCTTGGGAAAGCGGTTTGGAAAGAGAACTTGGATCTGAGAAGAAATCGTGAGCACTTACCTGGTGTGTGGTACAGTGTGGCTGGCCTGTCGGGCGGTCGGTGGAGATGCAGGTCTCTGCTGTGCTGGCGCTGGGAGCAGGATGTGTTCTCACGCTGGGCTGGCTGGTGAAACTGGAGCTGGCTGCTGTGGTGGGAGGGGTTTAAGTGTAGGAGTTGAGCCCTCAGGGCGTAGAGATGCACCTGATATTCCTCCGCCCGCAGCTACGCTTCATGTGTTTGCACCACTGAGTGCCACACAGCCTCTCAGAGCAGGGACTTAGCCGGCCGGTCACAGTGCCTCCTGACACCCTGCCAGTGCTGTCCAGAGGTGGGGGGCACGCAGGGCCAGATGGGTCCGGGTTCGGATGCTGTGCGTAGTTGTCCTCTGGTAGTTTGGTGGCAGGGTAGTAAGGACACACACAGACTCTCTTCAGAGCCCTGCTGTGTACTAGTGGCAGGGAAATGCTGGGTTTGCTCTGAAATGTGCACCGGGAAGTACAGTGCTTGTGTGCCCTTGCGGGAGGGCTGGCATGACCTCTTATGCCTGTCAGCCTCTCACCCTGTACCCCATCTCAGCTGGTCCCCTGAGAGAGCCAGAGAGCTGAGTCGTGGGGAAAGTCACCCGTGCCGCCTGTCCCGGGACCTGCTGGAGCATGCCCAGTGCCTGCACTGAGCTGGCTGAGGCAGTGGGGCTGCCACTGGGAGTCAGCGCTACACACCCGGATGTCCCCTCTTTAATTTGGGGGCCAGTTTATTCTCCAAACCACTTGCCCGCTAATCCGAGCCCCCCCCCCCCCCCCCCC